ACATGGATGGAAAGTTGGAGGGGACATTGTTACATTATTTTGGGTCAAAAAGAAGAAAGAGATAGCTCATAAATGAGGAAGAAAAACGTGCACCAAAGTGGTTGCAAAGCTTACCTGATTTGATTTTTCAGAACACATTTCGGTGTTTTGCCCATAACCTTTAACTTAGGTGTCCAAGTGAGCTGTTCTTTAATGATCTGGAAGGGTGATAGAATTTTTTATAAATAGTCTCTAATAGACATCTCTAGAAAAGGCTTCTTGGAGGGTCTAAATTGCTATCCAAAGTTAGCATCATATTTGTGTCCTAATTTTACTGAAATTATGTTCTGTTCTTCTTTGTAGATTTTAGTTTTTTAGTTGGTAAAACTTATTATTTCAGTTTAATTCAAGTTATTTCATGTTTATTAAAGTGTTCTTATACATGATCATGGTTGGCTAATCTTTTTCTTGGATCCAAATCAAGGATGATGGTGGTTGAGGTGAGTTCTTTAAGATATGAATGAATCTTAATGTTTGTCTTCTTATTTTCTTCATGAATGTTTTATTATTGCAAGGAAATTTTAGAAATCATTTAGGTAATGTTATAATCTTGAATTTTTATGCACAAAGTTTAGTTTTGGTATAGAGATTGCTTGATTCAATGTCTTACTTAATATGAAAGTACTTGTTCATTCTTAAGCAATAATCAATCTTCATCTTTTTAAACATGATTGTAATATCTTCTGATCTAATATCACCGTCGTTGATATTAGGTTGAGTTATCTTATATATCTTAAAGGACTCACCAATACATCACCATTAAAATTGATTTGGACCAAGACTTACTTTTTCTTGTGATTTAAAATCTATTTATACATTTTCATATTTAAAACAAATCCATCAATTATTTTCAACCAATTTATTGTTAATTTAATTTCTCTTAAGTTTTTTTTGTTACCTAACTTAATTTTCAGATCTAACTCTCTATATATATGACCTCGATCTTACCGAGTTAATTGCTACATCACACACTCGTGCACTTGCGAGTTAAAACAAGCTAATCATAAAAGCGGTCAAGCAACTAACATGTTTGGTGATAAATCCAAGTGGGGGCTGGCAACCATGTTTGGTGCCAAACCCGAGTGCAGATCTGACATGGTTGCTAGACCCAAGCTTTCTGGGGCTAGCAACCTTCTACAAATGTATTGTAAACTATACAAAGTCCATTGTAGACTTGCACAATGAAGTTTTTAAGCTCTGAGGGCTTGGAAAGGGGCTAATGTTATCTTTTCATATAAAGTTAAAGTTTTATTTTCCCCATTGTTTGAAAAAATTGAAGCTTTGGTTGTGGATGTATTTTAGTATTTCATATAGACTCATTGATATTAAACATTTCAGCAAAGCTATGGTAATCTTTTGATGATTATTTTCTTGGGAAAAATAGTATTTTATCCCCATAGTTACCAAAATTAAGACTTGTTGTCAAGGGGTTCTTTAACCTTTAACATTGTAAAATAATTAAAATACATTGTTTTATCCTCTGTTTGTTTGTTGTTTGTTTATATCTAACATGAGTTGCTAGACCCAAGCATTTTGGGTATGCCAACCACACCAAACCCAAGTTACTTTGGTTTGACAATAATACGAGTCTTAATAGCCTTGGATCTAGCAACCATGTTTGATGTCATATGAGATGACCACAAGATTGATTTCTCCCAAGTGCAGGAGTGTCGAAATAATAAATAACTCGGTAAGACTAGGGTCAAATCACAGAAAGGTTAATTGTATAAATTATAAATAACATAAATACAACAAAAAAAATATAATAATAATAGTAGTAGTAGTAGTAGTAGTAACAGTAATAATATTAATATTAGTAGTAGTAATAATAATACTAATAATAATACTAATACTAGTACTAGTAGTAGTAATAATAATACTAATAATATTAATAATAATAATAATAGTTCTAGTAGTAGTGGTAGTGGTGGGAGTAGTAGTAATAATAATACTAATAATATTAATAATAATAATAATAGTTCTAGTAGTAGTGGTAGTGGTGGTAGTAGTAGTAATAATAATAATAATAATACAAGAAGAAGAAGAAGAAGTTGATGAAAACTTTGAGATGGAAGATCAATGGAGGGATTAAACAATGATAACAATAAATGTTAAGGTTAGAGGATCCACTAATTTTATTTCAAACAAGTATATTATAGACTTTTATTACTCAAAAAGAAACCACATACAAAGGAGGTTCCAATCAGATTATAAATTATTAACATAATTACATTAGTTATTTTATTTGAATAATGCTAATATTTGTAAATGTTGTCAGGTATTCATGATTATAATTCATGTTAACAATAAATCAAGTTCCTTTCATAGTAGAGGTGTCGGTTATACCGTACAGTTTATGCTATGAAAATACCAAGCATTTGTTGTACCAAGTGTTATACAACACAAATCTAGATTAGTCATTTAACTTGCAAAGTATTAAAGAGTGAACAAGATAACAAATATAAAACATGTTAGTAACAAACATTAAAGTTCATGTTAAGTTTACACAATGCTTATTCTTACACCATTAGTGTAATCTTTTCACCTTGATATAATAAACTTAGCTAATCATAATGAAAGAGAGAAACATAAATAAACAAGATAATAAGATAAATAAGATAAAAGTTAACTAAGTAAAGGAAATGAATTGAAAGGTATAAACAAGATATTAATGAAAACAAAACTTAAGTATTACAAAAATACAAAGAGAGAAAGCAAGAGCATGGTCTTAGTCTGGAAACCAAGATACCTAAATGCCTGGCAAATGCCTCATTTTATAGGACAAAATCGAAAACTATTGATTTGATGACTAATTAATGAGTGAGTGACCAACTCTTAACTTGGTGACAATCCTTGTCTTCTATTATCTGAATAAAACGTTGTTGATAATATCAGAATTTGAACCAGACCTCCACATGAAAGTTCTAGGAAATTTTTTCAGCTTTCCAGAAAAAACAATTGAGGTCATTTAGACTTCTAGAACTCAAGATATGGGCTGAACATTGAATAGTATCTGGGTTGTAGGACATATTCAGACTTTTTTATTGTTGCTATAATTTGGACTTGAAAATGGTATTTTTAAATCTTGGGCCCTATGAAAGTTGTACGCCTATGTCTTACCTTTCCATCCATATAAAGTACATCTAAATTCGAGATCTACAGCTCCAGATATGACCTAATTACCAAATAGTGTTCTAGTTTGGATTGCACCAGCATCTCTTTTCTAAATTTGGTTATCTCTTTGTCCTTTCAATTTCAATACTTCAACTCATCAATTAATCATTTTATTTATGTGATAGACCTGCATTTAGGATGAATATTTTGCCATAAATTAAAGGTACCTTATGGTATCAAACTTGTTATTATAGAACATATTTTAGTTGAGTTATTGATGCTTCATGTGTAAAATAATGATATAAAACCTTAATAAAAATACACTTTTAAGTATTAATCATCATACCAGGTGCAGTTTGGCAACCATGCACTTAAGAGTCTTGGGTTTGGTAACCATGTCAAGTCCATACAACTTTCGTAGCTTTGTTATAGTGTGTCTAGCCTAGGGTCCAAGCCTATATATATATATATATGGTTTAGGTTTAGTGCTTATCAGAATCTGAATAGGTGATAATTAAAATGTTGAGTCTTTTAATTTTACTTTTTATAAAAAAAAAACATTTAAACTATCATTAAGGTATTCTTAATAGAGATCTAAGTTCGGAATTTATTTATAAACAACAAATCATTATATAAATCTAATCTAACATTTTAGATCTAAAAAATCAAATCATATCTTCCTATTGAAATAATTTATTTTCAATGTTTATGAATTTTTTTATTACTTTAATAGAAATTATATCTTTTCTCTTTTCTTTTGAATTTTTATTTTTTATATTTTTTAAAAAAGATATGGAGCCCTCCATAATGGAAGATTTAACGAATTAAAAAAAAGAAGATATGGTTGCCAAACCCAGGTGCGTAAGTCTAATATAGTTGCTAGGCCTAGACATATAGGTCCTGACTGAAGCGTCTTGGGGTGACAAACCATACCATCCCCTAGGTCCTTGGGTCTACTATTCATGTCAGATTTGAGGTACTTGAATTTTGTAAGTCTTATATAATTGTTAAATTTAAAATATTTAAAATATTTTTTATACATTTAATATTTTGTTTTTACATTTTAAAAAAATTAACATTTACCTGTTACAGCCAAATGTACTAGCACAAAATCAAAAAGGCCACATCCCCTCCCAAGTTTTTAAAAATTCCTTTAACTGATATAATTATAAACCCTCCGAGATTATTACCTTTGATTCATATATTATATTTTATTTCTTACTGAAATTCAATGAATCTAGAGATGAATTACAAAAGTAGATTTCATTTTTGAAACTTTGAGGTATTGTTAGAATTAAAAGAGACAAACCATTTTTTCTTAAAATTAATCGATCTTTCCCTTGAAGCAACAAGCATTCATTCTATAAAAAAAAAAGAAAAAAAGGCATCAAATGAAGGAAAAATATTCATCATCTAGTTATGTGATCGTTGAAAAATATCAACATGAGGTTATGTAGATATGTTCACATATGTAAAAAATTTTATTAAGACCAAGTAAATTCTTTTTTTGTTTAGAGAAAAACTAAAAACAAGAGAGAATTTTTTTTATATATAAATACACTTTAAGTTACTAAATTAGGAAACTCACCATTGAATCCACATTAAAATCATGATCTAATAACTCATAAATATTCTTTTTATTTTCTTATGTTTACATTAATAATTGAAATAAATTCACAAAAAATATAGATATTTAAAACCTATTTATTTTTAGGTTGACCTCAATTTCAGATGTATAAAGTATTAAAAGGATGTTTTTAATTAACTAGAAAATGCAAGTTGCACCGCATATGCAACCTCATTTTTAAATGAACACTTATTAATGGAAGTAGACCATCAACAACTACTATTACAATTTAGTCCACATCGAATTTTTTTAATGGTAAAATATGATAAAGAGAGAGTTTTGCATGTGTAGTGAAGTCAAATTTTTTCCTATACGGTGTGAGCATACCATTCACACTCAAAGCATTCAGGGAAGTTTCTTTCAGGAATTGAAAAGATGTAAAACACTTAATTTCATAATTATTATATATTAGAAAGAGGCAGAAGCTACTCTTATTTGGTAAACATATATAGAAGCAAGACTACAGTGATCAGAGAGTCTAATGCATCACTAAGTGGTGTCTCGGAGTGTCTCATCGCAGTATCATTATGCGTAGGCCTGAGGATTTGCAACTACGTAGGCTTCCACAGCCTTGAAAACTGCTGCTGCCTTTTCCTTGTCTTCCTTAATTTCCTCTTCCTTTATTTCAGCACCTGGTTTTGGGAAGTACCTGCTCACCAGTGTACCTTTGCATCCTCCTTCAGGGGTGGCCTCAAACTTAATATCATAAGCAATTGATTCAAATTTGTCCAGCAAAGTAACACCCTCAATTGTTGTGTAGCTATGAGTCAGCTTGTCTTTGTCCACTGCATCAATCCTGTGCTTCGCATACTTACCTGCATAAGAAAAGGAACAAAGATGACAATTTTGTCATTGTGTACTTCTCCTTATGTTGTAATTAATTAAATATTTTGTTCTATTGAATAAAAAAGTGAAAAGTAACTAGCCTTCGACAAAGGTCAACTTCTTGATAGTCCCAGGGCCTCCATTGCCTTCGATTGTTTCAATACTCTTCACAGCCTGCGGCGCGAGCTTGGGAATGAGGGTGTCAGCCTCAAGTACCATGGCCGTGAACAACCTTTTAGCCACGACGGGGCTGGAGAACTCCTCGGTGAATGTGAGAACTTCCATGGTTTTTTCTAAAGCAAACAATGAAGAGAAGGATATGAAAAGATGGGTGACGAAGTGAAAACAAAGGTTTGGTATTTATATATAGATTGAGAAGAAAAAGGTCTCATGTGTTAGGGCTGGCTAGTGTGTGATGCCAATTACTATGGCTGGCACCAACTCAACTAATTCAGTAGCTAATTATTCAGCTTGAAATAAAAAATCGGCAGCGGATGAGCTTCTGGCATGTACATAATTTCTAGAAGACGATCTCAACGAGGAAAATGGTTGTTAGGGGACGGTGACTTGTGCACTACATTACCAGAGTTTTAGCCAACCCAATATTAATGGATAGCAATGGCAGGGACCATTCTCTTTCCTACTTAGTCGGCATTAATGCTCCATAATTCCTGTTTTCGCTGGTTCCGTGTATTACTCGGTTAAAGTCATGAATTGAACTGAGTAGGTTAATCGGGCTATTATGAGTTATTTAGAAAAGTTAAAATAATATAATTTTAACTTTTTTTTTAAGAAAAAACTAGAATTTAACTAGGTTAATTGAGTCTTGAATAACTCATTGGATCAATAAAAATTAATTAAGTTAATTTTTATCTCCTAAGTCCCACATCAGCTAATTATCAAAATCAAAATTGTTAATTTTGTTTCTGTATATATTTTTTTTAATTAAAATGAAATGTTTTTCTTTCTTGAGCAATAACTTAAATATTTTAATAAAATACTTCTTATAGAAATACCAATAAATATTTTAACCTATCATTTTCGATTACAAAAAATAATTAGACAGTCTATTATTTCATGAATTATGACACGAATTCGATTTCTATGAATATCGATATAGGAAAGAAAGAAGAAAAAGGATCTCTTTTTTTTTCTTTTTCTATTGTAATTCTTTTTTTTTTGTTCCTATTCTTCCTTCTGAAAAAAAAAAGGTAAAGGATTAGTTCGTTCCTGATAGTCATTTGTTTAATTGGTGGATAGGAGTTTTTGACGTGCCGTTTCAAGATTGTATTAGCTAATTGTCAAAATCAAAATTGTTAATTTCATTTCGATAAGTGTTTTTTTTAATTGAAATGGAATGTTTTAGTTTTTGGCGTGCCGTTTTAAGGTTGCACTATATATATAATTCAACAAACATAATTCACATTCAAGATAAATTATTTATAAATTATGCAATACAATATAATATCAAACAAATATAATTTTAAAATTTAAAATGTTTTTAAATAGTCAAGATTAAATAGATCTTTAACTTAAAGTAATTCAATTGAAACAAAATATTATGAAAGTAAAATGTTTTAACACAAATATTTTAAATATAAAGTTATGTCAATCTTATCAAAGCTAATGAAATCTAAAGCATCCTTTATTTTGCTCAAATTTATATAAAGTATAAACATGAATAAAAAACAATATGAATAAAAACCATATATATATTAGTGATAAATCTAATTTTGAAAAATTAATATCATTGTTAATGAAAATAGTAATAATAATTTTCAATATTATTATTAATATCATTGTTATTGAAAATAGTAATGAAAAAGAGCTTTTTATATTTAGGTGGTTTAATTAATTAAATTGAACCAGGTTCAATTTGATTCAATAACTTTTCAAGATTGGAATGGAACATGTGAAATGAAACCGGAACATTCGATCGAAATTGAGCCAAAAAATCTAGAACGGATTGAGATTTGAAATGAGATGAATTTTTTTTTTATTTTGTTCTATTTTTTGAATTGTTATGAAATGTTTCAGCTATTCTAGATGAAACAGAACAAAATTGACAATCTTAATCAAAATAACCAACTAGGCAAAATCTCACATCTTATGCATTAAGAAAAAAAAAAAGAAATTGTGAATATAAAAAAAAAAAAGAAATTGTGGATATATCTTGCATATGCCACTTTTAAGCATTGGATATATAGGGATAGAAAAAAAGATAGAAGCTAAATTCAATTTTGGACACCCGGGGGGGAGGTACATGAGTGATGTCCAAGATATAATTTGATGTTGAATTTGTAATTTAAAAAAAAATAGATCGAGATGTAGTTTTAATTTTATAAGTTAATAAAAAAATTCAACATTTGACTAAACATATCTCAATTTTTTAATTAATTATTTATAATTTGTACATTTCTAAATAATGAGAATTAATGTGTTTATGAATCATATGATGTAAACCTAGTGGAACTTTATATAATTCACAAGTCTAAGATTTATCCAATCCAAGTTTGAATATGAAATTGAGCTTATCACAATTAAAGACTTATTCCAAGACAACAAAACTATAAATCATCTAATCACAATGCCTACACGTATAGACAAACAAAAGAAGTATAAAATCAATAACAAAGATTGGTTAATTCTTTGAAAAGTTGAAATTCAATCAAGAACCAAGAGAGGCAATATTTTATTTTACAAAAAGAGAAATCTATTCTTGAAGTATTCTTCACAAAGAATACTTATACTAGAAAGCTAAGTAACTTTAATTTTCCTAATGGGTCACACTTAAACTCAGTTTAAATAATATCAAACCAAGTTAAAACGAGCTCATACTACTTAAAATAAATAAAATGAACAAGTCTAAAACTTAAACAAGTGTTGTGAAATAACCAAAAGATTAATATCTTATCCCAAGTGTAGGAGCGTGGAAGTAATAACTAACTCGGCAAAACAGAGGTTGAACCACAGGGAGATTAACTATAATAATAATAATAATAATGAGTTAAAGAGAATTTTGAAATGTAAGATTAATATGAGGATTAAATAATGATAAAAATAAATGTCAAGGTTAGAGGATCCACTAATGGTATTTCAAATAAATATAATATAAATTCTTTTTATTACTTAACTAGAAACCACACACAAAGAAGATTTAAATTAAATGATTTGTCATTAGTAGCTCATTATAAATTATTAATATGATTATATTGGTTATCTTATTTAAGTAACACCAATACTTTTAAATATTATCAGGAATTCATGATACTAACTTATGTTAACAACAAATCAAGTTCCTTTCATAGCACAGATGTCGGTTATACCATACAGTTGGCTATGAAATATCAATTATTTATTGTACTAAGTGTTTTACAACACAAATCTATATTAACCATTTAACAAGTAAAGTATTAAGAATTAATAAGATAAAAATGGTAAGACATGTTAATAGTAAATTTTCTTGGATGTAAGTTTTGAAGTCCACATTGAGTTTATATTATACATATCCTAACACCATTAGTGAAACCTTTTCACCTTGACATATTAAACTTAGCTAAATATTAAGAAAAAGAGAAACATAAATAAATAAAATGAGAACATAATTATGTAAATATAGTAAAGGAAATGAAAGGCAAAAATAAGATATTAATGAAACTATAACATGAAATAAAACTAGAATATTAAAACTACAAAAAAAAAGCAAGTAAGGAAATGATTTTAATCTGAAAACCAAGATGCCTAAATGTGTAGCAAATGCCTTCTTTTATAGGCTAAAATTCAGAACTATTGATTTTATGACTAATTGTTGAGTAGGTAGTTACCTCATTGACTTTGTAACAACCCTTATCTTCTTGTTTGAATAAAATGTTATTGCTAACATCATAATTTGAATAAATAGTCTTCATGAAAGTTTTAGAAAATTATCTCAGCTTTCCAACAAAATAAGAATGAGCTCATTTGAACTTTTAAAATGTGAGATATAGGTTAAACACTAAGTAGTGTCTGGACTACATGATATATTCTGACGTCTCTTTTGTTGTTGCAATTTGAACTTAAAAATGACTGTTTTGAATCTTGGACTCTTCATAAAAGTTTTAGGCCTATGTCTTAACTTTCTATCCATATAAACCAAACCTAAATCCAAGTTCTACAACTCCAAGTTTGGATAGCTAATGTGAAAGTTTTAGGCCTATGTCTTAGTTTTTCGAGTTTGGATAGCTAATGATATTAATGAGGTTTCATTGGTACCGATATTTCAGGTTACATTAATTAGTTATCCGAGTTTGGATAGCTAATGATATTAATGAGGTTTCATTGGTAACCACATTTTATACAACATTGATTAGCTATTCAGGTTTGTGTTATAAATGGTATCGATGACGTTTTATCGGTGCCTACATTTCTTAAATTAATTAATCAATCTCGAGCAATTAAGTGACTAATGATGTTAGTAAAGATTACTAACATCGGCATGGTTACTCCTGGTTTAGTGAAAAAGATAAGTTGATTAACTATTCCAAGTCAAAAATAGGTAATGATATCAATGGGTTACATTAGTATCGGCGATTAGTTCTAATGTGATTAACTACTCTAGGTAAGGAGGCTAATAATGTTAAGAGTTCTTGACATCAGTAACTTTGATAGTAAATCATATATGAATAAGTTTTGATTAACTATTCTAGGGAAGGAATGTATTTGTTATCTTGTTCACTTTTTAATAATTTGCTTGTTAAATGACTAATCTAGATTTATGTTGTATAATACTTGGTACAACAAATGCTAGGCACTTTCATAGCCTATATTGTATGGTATAACCGACATCTAAGCTATGAAAGGAACTTGATTTGTTGTTAACATAAGTTATAATCATAAATGCCTGACGAGATTTACAAGTATTAGCATTAATCTAATAAGATAGCTAATGTAATCATGTTAGCAATTTATAATCTGATTAACCTTCATGTGGTTCAACCCCCGTCTTGTCGGGTTATTTATTACTTCAACACTCCTACACTTGGGAGAAGACATCAATCTTTTGGTCGTGTCAAGTTTTTAGTGTCGTTGCCGTGAAGGTAAGTTCTTGTATAAATTATAGCATTTATTTTATTTTCTCTTTTCACTTTTCTTGTATATAACTTTGTTTCTTTTCTCTTATTTCTTCTTCTTTTGTTTTCTTCTTCCTTTTATTCTATTTCTATACGTGCATGAGAGTGTGGTCATATATATTAAGTGGTTAACTTTGTTGGGTATCCTCATCATTTTCAAAAAATATGACCGAAGAAGATAATCAATCACTTCATAATGAGAATAATGAGAATAATCGTGTTAGAACTCTTAGAAA